CCGCGCTGCGCACATGCGCGCTCCCGCCCCTCCCACCTTTGACAGTTTTACTGTGGGGGGGAGGGGGCGAACTCTCGCGGTATTCCTGCAGCCGTTCCGCGACGGGGAGAGACGGGTCGGGGGAGGGGGCCCAAAGGGCTAGCCCGCTCGCCCGGCTCCCGATCCGTCGCCTGCATGTGCTGGGCCACCAGTGCATGGTGGCCAGTTGTGCCGCTCGCAGGGCAGGAGGCGTTTTCCAGGCAATGGGGTAAACTGAGGCACGATAAGGCGCTGGGTACTGCCCCCTAAGCCCAGCGCGCACGAACTGAAGGGACTGAACATCTCTGAGTCCTGGCCTTGGGAAGGTGTGGCTGTGGCAGCCGCTGTCCGCTGGGACCTTGAACTCTTGGTCCCCACGGGCCTTCCCCCTGCAAAGCAGGATCTGGCCTCTTTTCCAACCTGTGACCATGTCTGCTCGTGGCCACCCTCAGGGAATCGCCTGGCCCCTGGCAGTGCCATGGCAGTTTGAGGCCATGGGCTTTATTGGGGTTACTGACCATTGGAGCAGTGTTTGTCTACTTTTGGGAGGGTAGTCCAAAATCAGCGGCCAGTGCCTTGCTCCTCTGTGCCCCAGAACTGGGCTCTCGGCCGGGAAGGTCATTTCAAGTCTAGGGGTGATGGGGCACCAGCCTCACCGAGACTTGAGAATGAATGAAACAAGGAAGGAGTTGTAGGTGGGAAACAGAGGCACAAGGTGCACCCCTTCCCTGAGCCCCTTCCACCCGTTCTGTCCACACTGGAGCAGCTTTGGCTACACAGCTTGTGGGCAGGGCACAAAGGACAGGGGTAGATTTGGGGCCTGCTTCTTTCAAGGGATGAAGTGCCCACAGTGGGGCAAAGGCAGGGTGGGGCCCTCTGTGGGGAGGTAAGTCAGTCCTTCCCTTGGAAGTCAGAGCCAGAGAGGCCCATGTGATCCTTCCCTCATTCCTGTGCCTGGGGTCAAGACATGCAGGACTTGGGGAGAGGGGTCAGTGTGTGTGCCCTGAAGTGCACCCAAGGTTGCCAACTTTCCCTGCGTAAGTCACGTATGATGCTTCTGTGTGATGATGTGTGTCAAGCAGTGTCCTGTCTGGTGTCAGGGTATGTCTGTGTGTCCTGTACTAGGTGAGAAAGATGCCTATCGTGTTTTAGCATTCAGGTGATGTAGTGTGTAGGAAGGTGTCTGGGTCTCAGCCGGTGTCTGTCCAGGCAACAGCGTATCTGGCGATCAGGGCATCGTGTGATGTCATATGCGTTGTATATGGGGTGTGCTGCACTTGGTGTCTTTCTGTCTGTTAGGTGATCATGGGATGCTGGGACACTGTGTATCAGGTATGTTGTGGGTCTGGATGCTGGTGTCATTGTCTCTGTATCAGTGTCTGTGTGTCCAGACTGCAGTGGTCAGTTTCTGCCTCTGTGTATTTGCTCATCTGGTTGCTGTGTGGGTATGTGTGTCAGTGCATGTGCTGCCAAACGTGTGTTTCTTATCTAAGGGCACTGCCCTGTTAGGGTGCTAAATGAGGACCCCAGGAGATAGCTACTTCAGATCTCTGAAACCTGTGAATGGACTTTATCTGGAAAAGGGCTTTTGAAGACATAATGAAGTTAAGGATCTAGAAATGAAGAGATCATTCTGGGTTATCTAGGTAGGCCCAGTGACAAGTGTCCTCGTAGGAGGGTGATGATACCACGGAATCCAGGGTGGAGTGATGGGAGAACCTGGGATAGGTAAGGAAGCGTCTTCCCCTGAGCCCCGGCAGGAGTGCTGTGCAGCTGAATTTCAGGCGTGCGGCCTGAGGAACAGTGAGAAAGTCCATTTCTGGTGTGTTAAGCCTCCCAGTTGTGGTCATTGTTTACAGCAGCCCCAGGAACCTAACACACCTGTGTCCGAGCGTCTGGGTGCGGTCCACAGGGCTGAGCCCTCCTTCATAGCCTTTGCCAGCTAGCCTGGAAGGTCCAGGCGTAAACAGGCACCCTGCCAGGATGGAACACCACTGCCCCCTGGTGGCCACAGCTGGAGACAGCTGGTCCCTGACTCCCTACCCCACGTGCCTGGTTGGCCAGAGCGGGACACCACACTTAGGTCGCTTGAGAACCGAGTTTATTTCTGGTCTTTTTGTCAGAGTGTAAAAAAGTTAGCACAGAACAAGGAAGACAAGACAAGCATGGTGGGGCCAAGGGGACAAGACAAGGAGGGGGAAGGAGGGACGGGAAGGGCTCCCGGAAAGGGAGCTGTCCTGATGGCAGGAGGTGGCCAGGGGCACTTGGGGCAGCCAGACAGTATAAGGAGCTTCCCGTGAGGGACACAAGGGATGGGAGGCACCAGGCGAGTTGTTCGAGTTCCACTTGGGACCTACACACCCAGCCTCCCATCCTGAGGCCAACTCAGGGCACAGAGAAGGGGCTGGAGGCTCAGCCTCATCTGTCCCTGAGATTTTCAGAGTCCCCTAGGGGAGTAAGTGGGCAGAGGAGCAAGAGGGTGGGGGTGCCAGGACCACCCTTGCTATCCCTCTGCTGGGCAACGCCAGCCAGCCCCAGACCTGGGACTTTCTGGCCCACAGGGCAGTTGCTCAGATGCTGGCTGGGTCTCCAGTGGGTGGGGCATGGGATGCAGCCATCAGGACAGTTCTTGTGTGGACCCGGGATTTCCTGGGAAAGGGACAGTGGGAATGCCCACCCATGACTATGCCTCAAAGGTGGTCTCCATGACCCTGGGAGGAGAGGGACGTTTCCAAACCAAAGGCCAGGACACGGCTGAGCCCGGTGCTGGGTATGGGGTGTGGGGTCCTCACTGTGCCACTCGGGTCTCGGGTGCGTGTCCCAGTTCCCGCAGGTAGCCGAGAGTGTGGTGAGAATTTATGAGAATAGATGAGTGAAAGCAGTTGGCCCGCTGCCCTGCCAGGCCAACACTGATGCCCATCCTCTGGGCCGGGAAAGGGGAGGGCACACGCCAAAGGGAGCCTTGGCAGTTTGTCCCACCTGTGCGGGCAGTTCTCTGGGTGCTTGGGGAGGGCCTAAACAGGGGGCAGACCTCCAGCCCTGGGAGAGAGCAGGATGCCTACAGGACATGTGACTTAGCAGGCGATGGAGAACAGACATTAATGGGGTGAGGGGGACATAAATAAACAGGCTCCCTGGGAGTCTAGGGGACGTCCAAACCCACTCTGGCTCCAGGTGGCTGTCCTGCATGCTGCCAGCAGCACCAGGGGGTGGGCCTGGGCTCAGGTCCTAGGACGAAGGGCCACACTCAAGCAGCCCCTGCCCGCCCAATCCCAGGCACAGCCCAGAGTGCACAGCCAGAGGTGGCTGGAGGTGGCAATTCTGGTCCCACCTATCCACGGGACTGGCCTCAGCCCCTGGGGCCTCTTGCAGGGTCCCAGAGGGGCTGCGCGGCCAGCTCTGCCTCGTCCTTGTCAGGGGCTCCGGTCACAGTGCTGAGGTCTGGGGTTCAAGCCTCAAGCAGCAGCTAGGACGTGTTTCCAAAGGAAGCTACGGGGTGGATGGGGGTAAGGAGGGTTGGGGATTTCCAGCATCATCCACTCTGCCCTGAGTGCCGGATGGACCTTACTGGGGTCCCGCACTGCTGAGGTCAACTCACCCACCCTACTCTGGGACCTCAAAGCCCAGCCCCTCCCTCCCTGCCCCCCCAGGCCTTTCCAAACCTCTCTGGCACTCTTGGCTCCTCCCACTGACCTTGGCTGAGCAGCTGCAGGCTCCGCCCCTCCTCGCGCACCTGCAGGCGCAGCACCTGCTGCAGCACCTCCTGCTGCTGTGCCTCCTGTGCCAGCCCCATCCGTTGCAGCTTCTCTGCATTCAGCCGCAGCAGCGCCCGGCCTGGGGGGTGGGGAGATGGGTCGAGCCGAGGTCAGCATCCAAGGGGCTTCAAGGGCAAAGGCAGAGAGAGAGAGAAGGGGGAGGGGGACACAGAGAGACTCAAAGACAGGGAAGGAGGAAGAGAAGGAAAGATGGGTTGGGTGGGGGGAGGCAGAGACACAGAGGGTGACTCAGAGAGACAGGGAAAGAGAGGGAGATAGGCAGAGGAGGACAGGGATGAACAGAGACTGGCCAGAGCAAAGCTGGGTGCAAACTGAAGCAGAGAGACTGGGAACAACGATGAAGATGCTGCAAAAAGATGAAGATGCTGCAAAGAGACAAAGACCCAGAGGAGAGGACGACACAAAGAAGACAGAAGCGGGGAGGGGCGAGGGGGCTCTCTCTCTAGTGCCCCTGGGTCCCTGGGCCTCCTGCACCCCAGCCCCTGGAGCCCTCCAGCCCCCAGGCCCACACCGGTGATGGCATGCTGAGAGAAGGCCTCCACGTAGACGAGGTAGTTGTGGGGACAGTGCTTCTTGAGCCACTTGCAGACGTCCTGCTGACTCCACAGGACCACCGGCCTCGTCAGGCCACCCAGCGAGGGACTCGTGTGGTATAGGCCATAGTGGTCAGAGTACCGGCCCTGTGGGGAGAGGGGTGGCTGGTGGAGCAAGGTGGTGAGGAGGGCGGGGGCTCAGGGGGGTGTAGCAGGTGGGTACCTGGGGGGCCTCTGTGCCTGGCTGTTGCAGGAGCTTGACTGGCCGGCCGCCAGCTGCCCTCTGGCTGCGGGAGTCGTGCCATGTGAGGCTGGTGCCTGGTGTCCGAGGCAGGTGGCAGGGGATGCTCTCGGCAGACACTGTGTGCTCCAGGAGGGTCCGACAGAAGCTGAAGTGGGCAGTGGCTGCAGAGCAGGAGTGCTAGGTCAGAGTGGTCAGGGCCAGGCCAGAGGCTCCTTGCCCGGAGCCAGCTTCCTACTTGGCCCACTTTCCCTCTGCTGCTTTCCCACTAGGGGTTCCCAAGCCCCCAAAGCAGATGGAAGCTTGCGAGAACTGTCCTGAGGACTCCACCCAGCCCAAAGCTGAAGAACTGGAAACACCTCTCCCTGTCAGAGTCCACAGTCTGTGCTCTGGGGAAAGGATAGATTCTGTTTAATTAGAGAGAGATATGCCCACCAGGAAGTCCAGCACTCAGAGCCAGGCGAGGGGCTACCCTGAGACAGCCCAGCGCTGCCTTGTCTTGGGCTGGCACGTGCCACATCAGACCAGGGCCCGTGCACAGGACTTGCCTATGAGGAAACTCTGGCCCCATGGTCCTGGAAGACCCTGTGTGGTGGGGATACCCTCATGGGTGAGCTACCCACCCCTTGTCATCAAAGGCACTCAGTCTATGCCACCAGACCTGGCGTTGGAGGCTTGGCCTCTGTCCAGTTGTGCTCGCTGGCTGTGACAAGAAGCCTGAACTTTGGGCAAGCTGACGGGGTTCCTGCTCCCTTACCTCCCACAGGCCCCTGGCCCCAGGGCAGCTCCTGTGCGTGGAGGGTGTCCAGAGGGCATGGGCTGCTTCGTAGAAGCGGGCAGGGTGCAGCCAGGTGCTCAGGGACCAAGGGTGATGCCTTGTGCTTTATATTCCAATACCAACTTCATTACATTCATCAAGTTTTGGTTTTCCCGTAATTTCTGTGCTGATTGCTGACATGACTCCGGGGAGGGCAGGCACCTGGATGGGCCCCTCCCAAGATCTTGCACAGGTCTTGGTACACAGGAAGTGCCCAGAAACATTGTGAATGAATGGCTGGATGGAGGAAGGCTCTGCTTGGTGTCCACAAGTCAACAGAGCCCTAGGGAGAGACAGGAAGTGGGACCCAGCCTTTCCCCCATCTTTATAGCACACAGGCCCACCAGCAGGATCAGGCTCCCCTTCCAGGGTCCTTGACCTAACCCATTCATCAGGAGAGTGAGAGACCTTCCCCCAACAGATACAGCTCATCCCCCCACACACACTGAGGGCAGGGTTTGGTGATGTGCCCAGGAGGTCTCGGTAATGGGGGAAACCCACATCTTACTCCCCCTCCTTCCACCCCATAAGATGCCTCCTTCCTCCTCATATTTGCAACTTTGGGAATCGGTAATTTGAGGTCTGGGGTATGAGAGAGGGCGTGGCCAGTGTGGCCGCGGCCCGGAGGTGGCTTCTAGTACCATGGGAGAAGACTTGTTCTAAGCCAACACCGTTCAGGGGACAGGCGTCTGGGTGACAGGGCTTCGCCTAGCTGGGCCTTGTACCAGCCAGGCCCAGGCCGGAGAACCAGTCGGACGCCTCTGCCTGCGCCGCACCTGTCCGGGACCCGCCAGACCCCTCCCATTTCCTGCCTGCGCTCAGGGAGGGATCTCCATCTGTTCAACGGGCCGTCGCTCCCTCTCAGCCCCAACGTCAGAATTCCAGTAGGAAATGGGGTGGGGGCTCCCGAGACCGGCTGTGGCCTCGGCCACCACTCTGCTCCACTGCAGGGGCTGGGGAAGATTTTCTCCGCGCAGAGGAAAAAGTGACCGCAGGGTGGTGCTAGCCTGGGGGACAGGAGCCCCCGCAGGTCACCTCCCCCAAGCTAAGGCGCGCTGATCCCTAAGGCCTGACCGCCGCCCCTTCATCCCCGCCCCAGCGCAGGACAAAGACACCAGGGACCCTGTTTGGCCGGGACGCACCCCCGACTCCGAATGCAGCCGCCGTTCGGAGTCCGCCAGGACCCGCCCCTGTCCCTCTAGGTCCTCGAGCCCCCAGCCCGCGATATCCCCCGCTCCCGGGTCCAGCCCCGCTCACCGTCCACATCCCGGCGCTCCCCGAAGCCGGTGCGCACAGCCCCGGCTCGGCCTCGCGGGGGGCTCAGTTTAGTCCTCAGCT